TAGTATCTTGCCCAAGGATATTTGGCATGCAGCCAGGAGGCAGCCTGGGATCGAACCACCGACTGCTGTAAGTATAAAACAAAGTTTTAGTTAATTCACAGAAAATATGAAGCAATATCTTATTTATATTTAAATATATTTATTTATAAGAATTATTAAGAATTCGTCCAGCTGGCCGGATTTGAGTCTTTGTCGGGCCGATTTTGACCTCCGGGCTTTATTTTTGACACCCCTGACTTAATATGCAAGTTTGTGTTGTTTTAATAAAGAACATAGTTATTTGTAGAGATAGTAAACCCCCCCCCCAATTTTTTTATGCTTTATGACACAATTTTGGTTATTTTGTCATTTTGTGCTCCTTTATCAAAACAGAGCATGCAATTTAGGTTGTTTTGCTCCTGATTTTGAGCATTAGGCTTTTCTTTCTAATAATTAACTGTCTCTTTGCGGTCTAAAACCACCTGGAAACGTTAATAGTTGCTTCAAACTGACCCACAGATGGGCCCAATTATTGATTCTTAGCAGTTTATCAAAGGATATATTAAAATTAGGGATTGTATGTTAACTTAGTGTGACCAACCGTCCTCTATTTTTGCATTTGTTGACTTGTAAAAGCCTACATGACATTTTTATTCCACCATTCATTAACCTCACAGAGAAGGCATCGTTTAAATATGTTGAAGTTTCTTTAAGCAAACAGTATTATTAAAGTTCTTCATGACTGGGCCAAGTGTCCTCTTGGTCACCCTAGTTAACTCTCACCGAGTACTTCTTCCAATACAACAATTACAATAGCTTTAATAATTATAATAAATAAACTACAACTCGAGAGTTAGTCGGCTGCTCTGTGATCTGCTGTTAGGCCTGTGCCTCATTTCCGTTCATTTGACTAGTCGGGTCTAGCCTTCATGCCGGAAGTGAGTAGAGTTGTGAGAGTGCAAGATGGTGGCCACCAGGAGAGGAGTGCGTGTGAGCTCCCCAGCTAAAACAGACCCGGAGCAGCGCTCTGAGGTCCAGGTACGTGTCACAGAGGGAGATTATTGGAAGTTGCAGATGTTCAGGTGTCACTTGGAGGTCCAGGTAGTGAGTTATACGCCTGGCACGTGTGCGAGAGCTGATGTGTGGATCTGCCCCAGCTTCACGTGGACTTCACCCGGTACCAGCTTGTGTTCATGTTGTGAGGGATCCGCGCAGAAAACAGAAACATGCGGACTAAATAACAGCATATTTTAGTTTTAGTTTCTTCTCCTACTCGTGTTTTCTGTCTAACTCCCATAAAGTGCTGCTTGAGTAAACATCTCGTGTTTTTGTGTAAATATGACCTAAAAATCAACAGATTTCCACATAAAGTGCTAAAAGTAGATCACGAGAAGGCCCACATTAATATATTCGACTCCAGTTATATTTCTGTATAACAAAACTACGCGAACCTCAAGAAAAAGGTGGTAGTGAGAAGCTATTAGCTGTTTATTTATTAGCTGTTAGCTTAATATAGCTATTAGGATTTCTAACGCCACACAATGGTGGAGATGAGTTAATGCACAAATACATTGGGCCAAGTTTATTGTAGAGAATTTAAAAAGTAGGTGTAAAAACATTTTTTTTTAGTTAACTGTTAGGCTAAAAACTAAAACGAATTTAAAAAAATTCAGTTTTAGCCATGGTTGTATATGTTTATTGCAAGTGTGTTTGTATTATTTTTACTGTTTTTAAATGTTTAAAGGTTTAGTGTGCACGATTTCACCACTAGATGTCAGTAGACCGAGGCGTTCGATCAGCTGAATTATGTTTTTATTTACCCCTCCCAGTTTAAGTGTGTCTACGGTGGCCGCTGTAGGACAAACAGCTCTGGCGTGTAGGCTGTCAGTCTGCTGTTTACCTCGGCTAGTGTCCGTGTCTGTTTTATCTAGAGGAGACTGTAAGACTTTCGTTAGAGTGGACCTAACTCTGCTGGACTTGGATACTTAGCGAATAAATTGTCACACAGTGCGAGACTGTAACAAACTGTTTGTCAGAGGGAAACGTGACACCGGAGCCTAAAATTAACTTGCAAAATTTAGCTGTTGTTGTCTTAAAACACCAGGGTCACGTGTCTAATCCACTGACAATAAGTAATTGTAACAACATCAGGAGTAAATCAGCATTTTTATACATGTTTTTGTGTGTTAGGGGCCTGAAGGGTGATGTCACTGTATTCATGATAGTAAGGAAACATGGCGGCTTTCACTAACCAGCACCTCGTTATGCATATTTTTGATTGATTA